AGAGCCACGTCTCAAGTGGATTCAAACCCAGACACGGGGACAGATGTTTGTAATTAACTCACATTCCAGCCATAGGTCCCCCAGAACCCAGGCTTGACTGCCACCTCCCAGGCAGAGAGGTGGTCCAGGAGACCAAGCGTGGGGGCCAAGTCCTATCCCAGGCAAGGTGGAGAATCCCCCAGAGCCCTCACTCACCAGGTCACAGTCCACGCCGTTGGTGATGGTGTGCCTCCGACGTTCCCCTCGGGCACGGGGGGCCCGACGGGCATCGCCCATGCCTAGCTCCCGGGCCCTGCAGGCCGCCGCACCTGCCGCAGAGGAGCAAGGACCTGGGTCACTTCCAGGCCTGCCTAGTCAAGCTCAACGTCCCCCACCCCAAGCCTGGCGGTGCACAGCTGGGTGTCCAGGCCTACGTCTCTCTGGGTTCATGGGCAACTCAGAGCCTCTGCACGGGCCCTCCCCATCTCAACCCATCCTGGGGGGCATGGGCAACGGCCCAGCGCAGCACACACCTTGCCTCTGTGCCTGGCTGGCGGCTGGCTCCCCACTCCATCCCCACCAGCTCCCCTCACCCCTCCCTTGGTAAGGGCCGTGTGACCGCTGAGGCTGCTTGTCTGTACACACAACACAAATGTGTGCGCCCACACACATGCCCCAGCACGAGCGCCCTGGGGCAGGGGCTTTACCCGGTTCTTCTCAGCACTCCCGCTGCCCAGGGTGCTTCGAGTACACTGCAGGGGCTCATGGGCTGCTAAGTACAGGGGGAGTGAGCAGGCCTCTGGCCATCCCTGCTTCTCCCTCCGGGTCTGCCGGGGCCTTCAGGGGTGACGGGAGTCCGTGCAGGTGAAGTGTGTGCAGCTGAGTGTGCTTGGGGCTGAAAAGCCATCGGGGCCAGCTGACTTCCCCGGGGGATGGGGAGCACGTGCAGGGCAACCCGCGAGGCAGACTAAGGTGCGGGTGTGGAGAAGGTCACCCTCCTGGCTCCCGAGCCCTATTCCCCCACACCAGGCTCAGCCTCACAGGCTCTGCCCCCTGCACTGGGGGCGGTGGTGCAAGGAGGGAACATGTCCACAGGGCTGGCACCAGGTCTCTGCAGGCCTCCAGCCGGCCCTGGCAGACAGGCTCCGAGCCAGCCCAGAGTTCACGTCCCAACCTGCCCATGCTGCATGGCTGGCACAGAAGATACAGCAGAGGGAGGCTAGAGAGCATGGAACCTCAGAACCCCTGGGCTTGGTGTGGGGGCAGCTCCCAGATTCCCAGATGACAGCACGCTGGATGTTCAGCAGGACCAGCAGGCGGACGCAGCCCTGTCTGTCCCCGTCTGGGCCTGAGCTAGCAGCTTGCACCAAGGGGGGCCAGGGCAGGCCTGGGTGCACTGAGCTCCAGCAGGGGATAGGGAAGGGGCCCCTGGATCTCTGGAGCGGGGGGCTCTGTGAGTATGAGGGCTTTCTCTTCCTGGAAATCTGGGGGAGCTTGGAGTGCCAAAACATGCCATGCCTCTCGTCTGGGTCTCTGCCTGGAAAAGGTGACAGTGAGAGCCTGGCCTGAGACTAAAGCTGTTCTGTGGTGTCAGGCACCCGGACAGAGCAGGACTGCAGGTCTGAGGCCTCCAAACCCCAGTCCCATGGCTGATTTTCAACTACATGCAGCCACAGGGACGGCACTAGCCCTGCACTCAGAAGGGCCCCCTGCCTGCCCACACCACAGGGACAGAGTGGTTGGGCAGTGAGGAGCAGGGGGAGCCCCCAGCCTGGGGTGGGCTTCTGGACGGCTGCACCAAGGAGGCCAGGAGCCACTGTGGCTCCAAGCACCAGTCATGGGGCTGGGGGACATGGGCAAGGCTGGGGTGGAGGTCCGATGAAGCTGCCAGAGCAGTGAAGGCATAGAAAGGGCTGGCAGCGGCCATGGGGGGGGGGGGGGCGGGAGGCCTGCACCAGGTGGTGCACAGGTGCAGGCTGAATGGGCTGAGGGGTCCGGACCCTGCTGCCAGCCATAGTGCAGGTGTTATTTCCAGGGAAGACACTGGTGGGGGGGGAGGGGGGCACAGGGGAGCCATTCAGCCATCTCCCAGCACTGCCAACTGGACCGGAAGCTAGGCAAGCAGCCGGCCGTCCATCCACAGCGGCTGCGCCTGGGTCTCTCCCTGCAGGCTTGAAGGCTTGTCACCCCTGCAGGCTTGAAGATTGGGCTGGAGACTCACCCACCGCTTCGCTCTTCCTGGCAACCAGGCCAGGTCCTTCGGGGCCACCTCGGCGGGCCCTGGCCTCAGTGGTGGAGGCAGCAAGCCCAGCCGTCTGAGCGGAGCTGCGGGGCTGAGAACCCAAAAAAGGCAGAGAGGGCCCCGCCCAGTCTGGGCCCCTCTCTCCTCTGCACTAGAGGAAAACTCTGCCTAGGCAGTTACCACGGATACGACCGAGGGTCTAAGTGCCCCAGGTGTGGGGCAGGGGTCCTCAGTGCTCAGCTCAGGCCTGTACAGTGGCTTCCTGGTGGAGTTTGGGAGTCATCCACCAGCCCCTGGGCCCTACGATGGCCTCCCGCTGTGGAGGGGGAGGGGCTGGCCCCTGAACACACCGGGAACCCAGGAGGCCGCTTTCCCTCCAGGCGCTTACCGGCCCCCGCGGTAGAAGGGCCGCAGCGCCTCTGCGGCTCTGGCCTGAGGCGCCGGTCGCGGGGGTTCGGCGGGGGGCGGCTACGAGGCGGGGCTGGGGGCCGCCCCGCACTCACCAGCGTCCGCGCTCGGGCTCCGCTCCAGCGCCGCGCCCTGGGGCCGCTCGGGCTCCGCGGGACCGGGCGCTGCCTCTGCGGGTCCGCACAGCTTCTCTAGGCTCCGGGCCGCGCCGCCGGGGACGGCTGGCGGGGGCCGCGCGCCCAGGGGCAGGGGCTTCCTCTCCAGGACCGTCCGCGGCTCGTCAGCCGGCGCGAACACCAGGCGCGGCGGCGGCGGCGGCTGACCCCCGGGCCGCGCCGGGCAGCCTCCCCGGGCCGGGGCGCGCGCCTGGCCCCGCGGGCCGCCGTCGGCGCTCAGCAGCGAGGTGCGCAGGCCGGCCACGAAGCGCTCGAAGGTCAGGTA